ATATATATATATATATATATATATACACACACACACACACACACACACATACTGGTCTTTCTATTTTTTTATGGAAAGAAATTATTCCTTGAGAATAAACTGATATTAAATCTTCTCTGATCCATCATTTGTCTTGTTAATAGTCTGATTGTTTGCTAATCGTTAGGTTTGTTTTAAAGTTCATAAATTCTAACTGGGTGCAGAATTTGCGATTAAAAATTTTTTTTAAAATGGCTTCTATTGTTTTTGATTTCCAGAATTATCTACTAAAATGTTTGCTTGTGCTACAAATATTATTTTCTGTCAGTCAGTGTTTTGTTAAAAGAATTAGTCTTTGTTGCCTCAGAAAATTACTCATAACAATTTTCAGAGCTGCTTTCAAATAACTTTGATGAAACTCATTAACCCTTAATATATATTATATTAAGTATCCATCTGAATACAATTAATGTTTAAGCCTTTTTTAATATAATTCGTTTTTTTTTTTTTTAAGTTTTTGTACTAAATATTTGTTAATAACTTGAAAGAATGAAAATTTTAATATTGACATCTGTTGGTAACTCTGTTCCACTTTTGCCATCAGAAGAAATGTCTTTTCATATCATTAGAATTATTCAGTACAACTTCTGTCTCATAATTGTTAAGTTTACTGTATGCAAATGTACCAACTATTATGGGATAGGTAATAATTTAAAAATAGATGTGTATTGTTTCTTTTGAGTTGCCTGTATTGATTTTAATGCATCTTTTGTTTTTGATAATATCATCCAAGTTTTGATGCATTTCTATTAATATAATTGCACGATGGAGTAATGGATAGCGGCTCAGATTGAGGAATCAGACAGACTAGTTTGAATTCCATTCGAATCCATTACATTCACTTTACATACTGATACCCTTGGGAAAGATATGAATCCTCTTCTCCCTCCAGCTATGGATAAATAGCAGGATAGACTGGGTTCTATAGCAACTGGTCTACTGTAGAAAGAAATGGCAACCTACTGTGGAGGGGGGGGGGAAACTGCTTTGTCAGTCATGTATCAAAAGATATATGATTGGCTAAGTGTGTATCACCTATGGCACATTACTGACTGAATATAATATTAATATACTATAATGAATATAATATTTGAAATAGTAAATCATAGTCATAAAACAATACGAAGTTGTTTTCCAATCGTTTGTGTGTTATTCAGATCTTACATTCATTCTTCATTGAAAAAAAATAAACTGAAACTGTTTTGCTTAATGAATAATTAAAATGTTTTGTCAAATTGGTCACAAAAATACATTGATTGACACACACCCAATTATTTTGTATAATTATTACAATTAGTACATTAGTAACAATGTCACTGTGTCCGATCTTTTATTACAAAGAAAAGGATTTTCTCTAAGATTTTCTTTATAGGGATATTTTCCTCTTCCCCACCTTCTCTTTGGTGCTATTAGGCACCCCTATGAAGAATATGGTCACAGCTTCCCTATGCTAGGTAGTTTTTAAAATTTTAAAAAACAAAATCATTTCACTCCAAGCAAGGTGATAATGCCAGTAAGACATAAGGGGTTACTGGGAGTGGAAGAGAATGAGAAGACTTTACTGAGGAGAGAGGACAATAAAAGAATAGAATTCAGGAAGACAGAAGATGGCGATTGATATTGAATTTTGAAGAATGCATGTGTTAGAGAAGCAAGAAATTGGAAGCATTTTCCAAGAGGTGAGAAACGTGAGAGAAGAAACTGTTAGATTGGAACTTCTGGTTACATCTAGCTCCTTCAACAATAAAATGAGACCTATTTGCAAAATCTAGGTACCAAGGTGGAAAGCTCATTAGAAAAACTGCCATGAAAATTTTATAAAAATGACAGGGAAGCCATGTCATGGCAGTGGAAAGTGTTTGAAGTCTTGATACTTGGTCAGGACTGATACTATTATAGACCCTTCTTTGGGTTTTGCTGAGAATCTTGAGATATATAGCCAGAGCACTGGACCAGATATGACAGCAATATTCAATGCATGGACAAATGGTAGATTTATAAATTACTACCTGTATCTAGTGATGGCAGTGTACTGGTTTGCATGAACCAATTCTTAAAATTATAAAAGCTTAGCAAACCAGTTGTTGGATTATCCAGAAATAATCTTGTATATTAATAGCCATTGGCCTTGATAAAATGTTAGTTGTGCTACAGTCACACCTAGTGAAACTCTAATAGATACATGCCTCCCCCTCCAAACCCCTGCAACAATAAATAACAGTCAAGGGTAGGAGAGAAAAAAAAGTAAAAGAAAGATAATGGTAGTTGTGTGTGTAAAAAAAAAAAAAAAAAAAAAAAGTGGGGAGGGGGTGAAACAGGGCTCTTTAGGACTACAGTGATTCAGTTTGAATGGGGCTAAGAAACTGTAACACAGCTGATGACACTAGAGTTAAAAAGCATGAGACTTCTGAAGAGAAATATGATGAGAACAGAATTTCAATCTGGAAATATCTTAATAAATGTTTTCTATTAAGTTATCAGAATGGTTGAATTCTTTTCGCTACTATGTAAAGTGATTTCTTTCTATTCTTAGAGTGAAATGAAAATAAGCAGATTTGGTTCCTTAAGATTACCTGCCTTCATAGAACCAGTTCTTGGAAATTTGAGATGACTTTATTTGCTGTATCCCATAATAGTTATTATACTTATACTATGAGATATACCTGTAAATGTAAGAATTATTATGGGATAGTTATTATTTTTAAATGTGAATTTATATTTTTCAATGCTTTAAGTAATTTCTATGAATTAGCATTCATTAAATCAACTAGAAAATCTTAAAAAATTAGTTTTTTTTTTAATATATACTTTCTTTCCATAAGGTTAATTGTATTGTCTGTAACTTTTTTTTCTGGCCAGCACTGTGCAATCTGATGTTTTTTTGCATGTGAAACTCACCCTTGTAAATTCATGTCTTCAGTATTTTTGTTGTGAGTTTGATCTTAGCATGTATTTTTTTTTTTTTTCATTTCATGGTAACTCATATATATATATATATATATATATATATATATATATATATATATATATATATATATATATATATATAAAACTTTGATTGTAACCACATTGTTGACTGTGTGTGAAAAAACCTGAAATAGATCTTGGTTTTAAAATCGTCCAGTTTTATTCAATTGTCTGTGCATTTCACATCCTCACTTACACCAACTTTTTATGTGTACACATGTGTGGCACTGAAAGTGTCTTTGTCCAGTTCACTTCCCAAAAACACCACAAACACCAGAATTTTGGAATCCTTTTTTTTTTTTTTTTTAAGGCTGAGAACTTTTCAGCACCTGTGTGTGTACGCACTCGCACATGCATACATACATATATACACAGACATATTAATGGAATTTTTTTAATCCAACATTTTTATTTCTTCAAATTTTATTATAGTGGATATTCATATTTGAAATAGATGCTCTATTTTTATTTTAAACAACACCGTGTAATGCATGACCAATAGATGTAGTACCCCGTTTAAAATAAAAATAGGGTATCTATTTCATATATGAGTATCCACTAATAATAATAATAATATTTGTAATAAAATATATGTGTGCATTTAGGCAGCAATCCCTCATTTATACATGTTTCATTAAAAATAACAGACAAGGTACTGAGATTAAACTTTTTATTTAATTTTTCTTGTGTTCGAACAAGTGTTTTCTTTTCTGGACACAGTGTGTAGAAACTCTCCAAATGTTCTGTAATTCTAATCATTTTTTTGATAATGGCTAAAAGTATAGCCAAAAGCGCTCAGAATTACAAAACATTTGGACAGTTTCTACACACTGTGTGTCCAGAAAAGAAAACACTTGTTTGAACACAAGAAAAATTAAATAAAAAGCTTAGTACCTTGTCTTTCGTCTTTAAGGAAATATATATATATCCTACCCGCCTACAGACATTTATAAACAAAGATTTACCTGGAATTGATCCTGCATTCCATTAAAAATAAAATAGTAATAAAACCAGGTTGGATTAAAAAAAAAGTTCACACAGGCTTTGTCTTGTGAATGAAGATTCACGAATAGGTGTCTCTGATTTGCAAGACCCATGCATGTCAGACAGGTTTTTCCGCATCAATTACAAAAATGGAATCGGTGGCTGGAACCGGTGCCAAATTTATAACACAACTTCTTTTCCTCCGCCCTGAATCTGTGGATTGATTCATTGGACATAAATTTTGTGGCATCAACAAATCCTACTAATAGCCTCTGTTAGCCATATTAAGGGTCAATACTGCAGAAGACTAGGATCTATTATTTTAGGACCATATGCACTATAGGCTAAAAGTTTAGTGCCACCATCTGGATTTATTAATAAATTTCATGCCGCCTTTAATTAACTAATACGAAGCTACAATTCTGAAATTATTGAATCCATTAGTGCATGACATCCTGTTTTGTTTTTTTTTGTTTTTTTTTTGTTTTTTTTGTTTTTTTTAGAGAGAGAGTGATTCACTAAAATTTCAAATCTTCTAGTGTTAGGATTATCACTAGCCAGCAAAGTTAAATTATGTAAAAAGAGCTAAAATTTTAACAAAAATTTCAATATTAAATATATGATTAAAAAAAAAAAAAAAAAAAAACCTTCTCTAAGAGAATGTCCCTCTGGTCTGAAGTGAACTAGTAAATTAGTTTTGAAAAAAAAGCCATGCAACTTTCAATTTTTAGGCGATTCTTTGAAATCCAGAGAGTGGATCCAAACTTTTAGCCTAATGTGGATATATAAAATAATGTGTGTCTTTTCTAAAGACTGGATGTACAAATAATGTATTATTTATTTTATTATATGAACATTTAATTACTTTATTTTTGTTTTGTTTTTATTTTGTATATATTTTCTTTCTTTTTTTTTTTTTTTTCCTCTCTCTTTTGCGTCATATTTATTTAATGGCTTGTTTTAATTTGTTTACTTCTGGCATCTTCTGATGTGTTGATTTTTCTCTCCAGCGATTCGATATGTTTCCAGAGGTGAGGCTGAATCTGTTTCTTTTAACAGACTTTTCCACACTTTGATCCCCCCCCCCCCGGCCCATACCTCTTTCCATTATCAGCTTGCACTCACTCTCTTCTGTGCTTGTCGGGTTCGGTCAAAAACTTCTAACATGCTAATATTAAGCAAAATGAAAATAAAAATGCTTGTGAATAATTGTTTGTTTATAATTCTTGTTGACTTTTTTTTTTTTTTTTTGCTTATTTAGTTGACATGTAGGTGCACAAAATTTGAAAGTCACAAAATTTTTGTCTGTTCCTGCTTTGGTGGCCATCAGTAGTTGATACAGAATAGTAAGCTGAGCCCCTCATGTCAGAAATGAACTGGGATAGAAGAAAAAACTTTTTTTTTCTTATTCAATTCCCCCCAAGCAAGGTTATAATGCCCCTAACATTCAAGATTTCCTATGTGGTAAATAGCTGTGTAGGACTAAGCATTCTAGCCTTTGATGGCAATTAATCTAAAAAAGTTTGCTCTAAATTTCAAACTGTGGAGAAGGCAGTGGGGATACCTCTTCACCATCTTTCCCAAGAATACATGGCAATTCAGATAAAGAAAAGGAATCTGTCAAGAGCTCTGATTGCCAGTGGTCTGGTGGAATGTGGCATTTTATAAAAAATCATTTCTTTAGGTTATTGTTATTTTTATTACTCGTGAATAAGCATTGTTATAGGGTTAAATAGCAGGGTAGACTGGGCTCTCTAGCTTTGAACAATTTTCTTTTCAGATTAAACATAATTTTGTTTCATTTTGATTGCCTTTTATTGCAATGGCCAGTCTACAGTATGGATTACTCGGTGTATCAGTGTAGATCAGGTAGAAAGAATATATTCTGGACAAGATTCTTTCTTCCATCTGAAAGAAAGAGGGTAGAAAATTCTTCAAAAATAATAATAGTTTCCTTCATCATGGCTTTAAAATTGAAAAAGAAAAAAAAGGAAACTTTATTACTCCTCACTCTTCAGATCCCAACTGAGAATAAAACAAATATATTCACTATGATTAAAATAATCATCATTTATTTAGTTAGCCCATTTTGTGCTGCTGGGGTCACCACTTATCTCTGTTGTAATTGTGGTTCATGGTGACATTCAAGGCAAACTAGTGCAATGGCTTGCCAGTTCTTTTTGTGCCATTTTTACCCTGTTCCTCCACTCACTGGTAAAACTGTTGACTTCTGAGATGCAGCTCTTATGCTCAGGCTGGCGACTGGCACAAGTGGGTCGGGGAGAGGGGTTCTCTTTCACCAGCCACCAAATCTACCAGGACACATACTGTCCTTTAGTTTCTTTCAATGCCTGGTATAAATTTATGGACTTAATTTATAATGGAACTGTCAGCTGTAATCAAATTAATAATTATAGTTGATTCGATAAAAATTCAGTCCTGGGTATGATGATAAACTACGTCCGGCAGCAAGGCCTCTGATCAGGAGATTGGAGGTTTTGAGGAGCATGGAACCACCTCTGAACTGTTGCTGTTCCCAGGGATCTCAGCACTTGTTAATTCCAGCTATGGGCAAATAAGGAAACTCCCTAAAAAAAAAAAAAACACTATGAAAGTATAAAAATACATTTTTATAGTAAAATTACCAGTAATACATTTTTATATTGTAAATCAGAGGCCTTGTTGACAGATGTACTTTATCGTCATACAAAAGATGGTGCAGTAAATGAGTCAATTTATACAGGGTGTTGTAAACAAGCAATTATTCTTCGCTGCATTTTTATGTCTGTAAACGAGAATGATTTGAAAATAGTTCTTTTGTTATGTCTCTTTCTATCATTCTATCTCTCTCTCTCTCTCTCTGATTGCTTATAACTAGTCTCTCTCTTTCACTCTAAGGTCCATTTTATTCCTTATCCCTGCTTCCCAACATTTGTCTATCTTAGTTTTCATTATTCAAAGAAATTAATTATTAATTTTAATTAATATTAAATCAAATGTTAGAATTTGGTAATTTTTTTTAGTCCCAGTTATTTAGATGAAAAATTATATTTTTTGCATTCTCCTCTTGGCTGTTATATAAATAAATTTTCAGCCATTGTAGATCCTATGGTCTTTGTCAAATGTCAGACACATGGTCTAGTGGTTTAAAGTGTTGGTTAAAAACATCTGTTTTCCTGGCATTTGGGTTCAATCTGTGGATCTGGTAGTGCTGAAAAGTCACAAACTCTTGTTCATTTCTGTTTGAATGCCTGGGATGAGGAGTTATCATAATTTACAAGTGACATATTGTTCTCATCTTTGTCATCTTATCACATTTCAGCCATTTTGCTGTTCAACCTTCATCAGGTGTATATTGATCTGGGTAACCTACAGGGAATTCCGAACTGAACCCTTTAATTAATCTATAAGGGATATCTTGTCTAGTTCTTATTTTTAGTATTACTCAGTTATTGCTTGCTCTGTTTCCATTGAATCTGAGTATACACTACCCTACTCAGGGATTGAACCCACAATTACTATGTCACCAAAGTCACTGGGCAAGGCAGTGTGTATTTGAACTTAGTGGGAACAAAGTGAGCAATAACTGAGCAGTACTAAAAATAAGAACTAGACAAGATATCTCTATACATGGGCAGCGGAATGAGAACATGATGAAGGCCAGCAGATACTAATGACTGAAACGTTATAACAACAAAGATGGAGATGATAGCCCACATGTAAAATAGTCCAAATAACTACTGTTCAGTAGAAGAAATGGAAAAAAAAAATGACAGAAATATGAATAACACTGTTGAGTATTAACTGATATGAGCTGTCTCCCCATAACATGGAAATTAGTATGAGGCCTGTTCACTTCTGTAGATTGAATAATAGGTTCAGGGTACTTTGGGTTCAAAGACAGGCACCTGAAGAAAATGGGTGGGTTCTACAGCTGAAATGTTGTGAGTATAATAACCAAGATCAGCACGCTGGTCTTTGATGGAAAAGCGTGTAACACTCAGAATTTGATGTTGTCTTTTTGGATGTTGTCATTCAATGTGTACATTGCATCCATTATTAGTTCCTTAGATAGAAACACACATGCACACACATCTAATATATAATAATAATAATAATATTACAACTGAGAAAATATGAGAATTTTATGTTGTTTTTTTTTTTTTTTTTTTTTTTTTCAGGCAAGCAGAACTTCTGCTCAAAGGAGTAAAATAGATAACTGAAGCTGTAATATTCAATAAATAAAAAAAAAATGTTCAAGTGACTTATCTTAGGTACTTCCACTAATTTGGAATACGTAAGGTTTAAAATGAAAAAGCTTTCTTGAAGCTTTCAGTTTAGCTTTAATTGAAAGCTAAAAGATTTAAAATTTTTAATTTACTATTTCCAGTAAGCTATATACATATATACATATATATATATATATATATATATATATATATATATATATATAAAATCTCAAAGGAAAAGCTCATTAAAGATTTCAGTAATAATTTATTTCAGACAACTTCCTCATCTGACTGGAATTATAAAATGGTTTAAATCATCCAGACAATTTATTAAAAATTACAAATATATATTTGTTGGTTCCAAGCATTTTTGGTTATTTTACTCAATTAGTAGAAGTGCAATTGCAAATGGTATAAAAATTACTGGAAGTAGACATATTCTTAATTTACAAATACCATCTACAATAGCACTTATACAGTATTTTACTATAGTAGTATAGCAAATAAATAATCCTTAAAACTGATTTCGCAGTTTAGACAAAAGCACTTGGAACCATTAGACTTTTGGACAACCTTTATAGTCATTAAGTCCAGAAAAGAAGATACACATATATATATATATATAAGAAAAACATAACACACACACACATATATATATATATATATATATATATATATATATATATATATATATATATAGTCCACACCTCCTTGTTTATGATTGGTGGATGCTAAGCATTTATTGTTATCTGTTTTTTACTGCTTGCTGAAACTTAGGGATTGGCTTTGTCTCATCCATTACTTGCATTCCAGGACATCTGCTGGGATGCTGTCATTGTTCCAGCAGTTCTTCTTTCTTCTTCTTTAGAATCTGGGTCTGCCAGTATGTGCATCATCAATTCACTCGCTCGTATTATCTCCAGAGCATTGTCATTTTTCTCTACTTATTTTCTCTTATTCTATCTAATCCATTAACACTTTTTATTTTTATTTATTTTATTTCCTTTTTTTTTCTGTTTTGTGCTAAAATTAAACTGTAGAAATATGAGGGGGTGCTGAAAAGTTCATGGCCTGACCTACTTGTCCCCAGGATCAGACTAAATGACCAAATTTTTTTTTCAGTGTACCCCCCCCCTCATTTCACATTTGTATTTTAGTTCAAAATTGCTGCACTATCATCATTTTGAACTTTCTTTTCAGTTTGCTTTTGTGCATAAGAGGTGACAAAAGGAAGGGATTGTTTCATAAATGTTTTCTTTGCTTCCTTCAACTCCTGTATTAGACTGTGAGGGGCTTCAGTATGTTGCGATATGTTAGATTATTTTTTTTAATCAATTCACCTCAAGCAAGGTGACAGTGCTACTAAGACGCAAAGGGTTGCTGAGAGTGAAAGTGAATGAAAAGACTTTAAAAATAACTGGAAACCCGTTCCTAAACAGAGGACAAAAGGTCAACCTCTACTCCTGTTCAAAAGACCAGGGAGGAGTGTAAATGGGACGATCGACAAACCTATCTACTCCTAGAGAGGCCAAAAATTTAGCAAATCCTATTTACTTTTGCAAAAAGAAATGTTTGATACAACTTAACCATATAAGTTAATAAGCAAAAATAAATTAAGGCATTCGTGCAAAAAGAAATGTATTCTAATTTTACTGATGTTGGTGTATTAACTTGTTAGTACCTACCATCCCATTTTTGAGACTGTGGACATTGAGTGGTTATAAATAGATGTCTATAATTAATACCAATTTTTTATTTATTTATTTTTTTTATAATCATATCACCCCAAGCATGGTAATAAA